AGATATAGGGTCAATAAGGTCGACTTACGACCCTTTAGTTATCGACTAGGATCACTAGTTCAAATTGACCACCTTAACGTCAACTCGAATCATGATATTCAGTCCACGCACGATTCATTAAAAAAAAAAAACTTGATCACGTAGGTAAACGTGGACGGACACTGTACCTCGACTCCATTTCTTGAGGACTGCTTTCCAAACTCTTTGGTTCTTTCGCCATACTACGTTCATACTTTTCCTATATACATTAACTAGATCAATAATAATCTATTTAATAATAATAATCGACTCAAAATTTGGAGTTTCACATACGTCAGATACTATACGATAGCATTCTATATGATTAACCTTGGAGGAAGTTTTGCTAAGAAATGCGGAATCATTACATAGTCTTGGAGTATGAATAATTACAAGGTAATTACAAGTGTACATTTCCTTTACTACAGCAATACTATCGCCGGATTGCGGATTGCAATGAAACTATATTTTACATAAAATACATGATAAGTAGTTTTCAGTAATAAGAATAAGAGAAATGAGGACTTTGAATAATAATAATCACATACTTGTATTTCAACTTGTCTAGGTTTACCTGTCAAGTCACATGTAGACCCGCCACCCCAACGTTGAACCAAATATTTTTTACCACTGCCAACCTGCAAATCTGTACCAAAGGAATTTTTCTTATCATTACTATCCTTATTCGAAGGTGGTAACGAGGCAAAACGAAAATTGTATTTTCCCAAAATATAAGTAGATCTCGGTTCATCGAACCCAGCTTGTATATGATACTGGCTCATATGACTAATAAAAATAAAAAATAAATATAAATATACTAAATATATCAGTAAGTTTTCATACTAATTCCAAGAACGTATTATATATTCACCTAAGATGACAGTATTCGTAGGTCCACCAACCATGTTGCTAATATTTAAGATACGATTAAGATCGTTAAAATAAGATTGACAAAACATATTACTCTAATATTACTCACAAGAACAAGACAATTGGACTTCATAGGTTCTAAAAGCGCAAGGCCTTTCTTCATAAGGTCAACATCGTCTCTCTTTTCTTCTTGCTTATTTTCTTCTACAGCGGTTTGGTTGACAACGAATGGTATCTGACAGAGATAAGGTTGTCCAGAAGCTGAACGCATTAATATTGGTGTTGATTTAGATTCAGCACCATCCTTCGAATTATCCTTAGATACAGAGGGAACTATACTATTTTCCTGAAATTAAGAAAGAAATAAATATATATATATATTATTATAAGATAGTTTTTAAAGCAAAGATCTCAACTAACCGATTGTACTTCGTCAAATACAAAATTTTCAAGACTACTATTCGGGATTTGTTTATTAGAAAGAATGATTTTATACTGAGGAAATGCTACAAGATCTTCATATACCCAGGATAAAGAATATGCTTTTGCTAAATGCTCCAAGATCACAAAAGCTAAGGTACTTAAAATTATATAAGTTATTTGTTTTATTACTTTTAAACATGTCATGATAAATTTCGAGCTTATCGTTACGAATTCGCGATGTTCATTTATACGTGTTTCATGACACGTGGCACGTTTTCCTTATGTAGATCTTGGTAGAGACTTGTTACACTATTTCTAGCCACGAAAGGTCACTAAAGCTTGTAGGAACTATTGGCTAATTATCACGAGTAATCACTGATTGATCCATCTTCCCCAGTATCGCCATCAAAAATGTCACTTTCACGTGACCACCGAAAAACTTTTAAGTTCGTTTATGTTAGGGTTAACGCTTAATTAATGTTAGAGAATGATTGGCTAATCTGATGTAGCTCGTCACGTGAAAGTGAAAGTGACATTTTTGATGGCGATACTGGGGTAGTTGATAGAGCATTAGATTCTGCAATAATCTGTATTGTCAAGAGATTTTACAGTAACGGTTAATTCGCATTATTGCTCGACCATTTGGATTAAAAATAATGTTTCCCGAGAAGTTGGAGGCCCTTAAATTTTTAAAGTAACCATAAAATCCTATAAACTTACATCAAAGTTGCACTAAATTGCGCACGAAGCAGGTGATATAGTGATGACCATTGATCATTTTTTTATAAACCCCCAGGGAATACGCACTCATTAGACAATGCAATTGAATAAGTCAGTATTCCTTGGGGGGCTATAATTGCCTAATATCTTTCAGCTCCCTAAAAACATATAAAATTTAAATTGCAATAAATTTTGAACAGGTAAACCTACGCAAATAAAATTATTTTTGTTGGGTTCATTTTAGTGTGCTCTTTAAACATATCGGCGAATTTTTGAAATTTACT